GCCTCCCCTGCGGAACCTGGCAGTGGCCACGGGGAGCTTTGGCCAGCGCCTGAAGCGACTCCTGATCGGCTGAGTGCCGATTGTATGGCCGGTTGGTCGACTTGGAGGGACTTCCTGCCATGGGTCTAGACTCTTGAGTGGTCTTTGTTCAATTTAAATACACATGCTGAGTTGAGACATAAAATGTATACATAAGTTTGGATCGAATGACGCAAGCCACATGGCTTCTAAATGTTCCCTTTCCAATACGTTGGAAGCTCAAAGAGCCGCTTTTTTCTGTGTCAACATGACTCCGAATTCTTCATATCTAATCTAACATTATAACATCTGCGGGGAAGCTTTTGAGCCAACAGAGACCTTTGTATCACGTTGACCCCGAAAGCCTTCTAAATTCTAGTCACGTTATTATTACGGAGTAAGTAAATCTATGATGATGGACAGTGTTGTCTTTTTTTTTCTAGACATGCGCAGACCCATTGCCAGATTGATTTCAGTATTCAGTAGATTCAATTTTGCATGGCCGGACCTGGAATGCTTTTAAGGCCAAAAAGCCACTCAGCCAATGCGGCCAAGAGTGGCAGTTGGACGGGATCGGGATCAACATCTCATTTGAACATATTTTAACCACGGCAGTTTGAGCTTTGTGCTTATTGTGAGATGGTAGCAGGTGTTCCACAGGTTTTGAGCTCCAATAGATACTCCGAACACATCCCGTGATATCCCATCCAAGCAAGGTCCAAGATTTGCAAGTTTTTAGATTTTTTGGCAAGCGATGCCAGTTCTAAGGTTTTTTTCTCAGAAGTCGATGTTCCCTACGATGGACTGGGACCGGCGCGGCCCCTTGCGAACCGCAGTGCAGAAGCGAATCGCTCAATTCCACAGATTGATAGTTATGGTTCTGCAAGGGGGTAAACCTCAGGAGCGCTGCATGTGAAAGAAGCGCGCGACGGCAGCGAGCCTGCATTCCGCCAGCTTGGCAAGCCTGACATCAGACCAAAGACACTGCAAATATCTGAAAATCCGGCTCGAAACGATATTGATCCTCCCGAAACGAACACATTTCTGATTCTCTTTGGACTAATTATTATACATCTTCCATCTCCTCTCAACCCTTTCGGACCGACCAAACAAGTCAACATAGCTGGACCGCTTCGTTGTCGCCGCGTTGGGCGCTTCCTCGCCTTCGCGAATCGAGACAGGTTTTGGGGTCCGAAGCTGTCGAACTGGGTTTCGCGGCGCAGGGACCGCTCTCCTCCCCCGCAGGGGTGGCGCAGGGAGCCACGTGGAACGATTCTGGAAGGAAGACAGTTTTCCGCTAACAGGCTCTATGGCACATGACTGGAAACAGGGAGGGGATGCTTTTAACATACAAAATGGAAGACGCAGGGACCGAAAGACACAGCACAAGTCAGGGTGTGTGGTGATTGGAAGAACATTCGTATTCTATACCGAGCTCTCCAAAAGCCTTAAATCCCGATGGCCCCAAAGGACAAGACGTTGTTCAAGCAAAGACAACATTCAACCACACGGCTCGCGTAAAAGGACAGGTCAGAGAGTATTCCACGGGCAGAAATCTTATGCTCTTCAACGCAGACCTCATGGTTAAAGTCGACATTGATTAAGCTCTTTGAGTGGCCCTGTTAGGATATGTTAGGATCACAAATGATAACATAGGATTACTGATCACCAATTCCATCCAATTCCACACAAAAGATCCACTGGACACATCTCTCCCAGCCATCGCAACCCATGGGCTCTGGTGCCTCTTTGGCAGCTGCCGGTGCAGCAGCTTGATGACCAGTGGGAAATCCTGCTGTGGCGTCGGCAAGTTTGTGGCTGTTGAAAGCTGTTTGCAGGGTCCAACTTTGCTTCCTTGTCTTGGAGTTTCCCAGTTACACCTTGTTGGACAAACACCCCAAAAGTAGGGAGTGCACATGGACGCTGGTTTCTCCTCTTCGACCAGTTCCGCCATCCACTGAGCTCAGCCGACTGGGTGCCTGGCTGTGCCACTGGGTGCTCAGCTGCGTCAGCGGGGGTTTCGGCCTCGGAGCCTCCTGGCGGGCACGAGGCCATCAAACATTTCATGGATGATGAATCTAAGAACCTAAGCGACAGAACACGAACCCTGAGCAAGCTCTTGGTCATCACCCTGGAAGAGATGATGGGTACTTCAACTTGGCCAGATAGTCTCAAGATACACTCTTCATGCTTCAGAATCTCCCATGTATTGTACCTCCGTAGTTTTCATGGCGCAGGGCAAAACTACGCCATCAAATTTCGGGTGAAGACATGCCCGCCCTTCGTCCTGCCCGCGGCCGCTCAAGCGACCGCGCGCGGTTTGGCGCGTTTTTGAGGCCAAAGGAGCGGTTTGCACGGGCGTTTGCTTGGGCGGCGCTTGTACGCTTACCCTGGGAGCGATCGGTGGTGATCGTGAGCGGTCGCTCGGTGATGGAAATGGCAGGAGATGGCGGGGTCGAGATGATGAGAAGAAGTGGGTCTCAGTGCTTTACAGCTTTCCACTCCAATGCACAGAACCTCCGTGGATGGACGACTAGCTCTCAAAAGCAGCAAACATAAACCTGCACTCATCACGAGTTCTGCAGGGCCCGCACAGAAATAACTGCTGGGTGACACTTCTCGTCAGTCTTCTGCTTGGGTTCAGACCAACATACCGTCATGTAGACTCTTGATGAATCACCCCCCAGCATTATCTTGAGCCTTGGTTTATGCATCAAGCAAAACAAAAGAGAGGTGTTTTTTGGACGACTCGGCTGCAAAAGCGGGTGTCTTGCTGGTAAACCAGCGATCCTCGTTTCACGGGCTATGGAGCCATCCAGTCAACCTCCTCCGGCCGTCGGTTTGGAGTTGAGACGTTCGATTCGCCCAAACTTGGCATCGGCCCGTGGGTCAAAACATGGAGCCCAGTAAATGCTGCTGACCTCCCTGGTATCTCCCAGTAGATGCCTCAGGTTCGTTCTTTTCACTTACTCCATATCATGTGGCCATGCGCCGATGACCCACCATATCATGCCATGCGCCGATGCTGAGGTATCGATCGGGTTTCGGAGGTGAAACCTCCAACGGACTGAAAGGGTGCCTTCCTCCAGCGGAGGCTGATGAGGCTAAGCTTTCTGCGAGCTTTTCTACAAAAGCTCCCCGCAAACCACCCAACCAAGAGGGTCAAGAAAGTCAACCCTCCTTCCTTAGGATAGAAGATGGCCTTCAGGATCTTCAGGCGCGGGTTTTTTAGCAGGAGCACAGACTCGCCCTCTCCCACAGCAGGCACCGGTCCGGCACGTGGATTGGATCAATCGCCACCTCAGGAGGAGGTGGATCGGCCCCGCCTACATGTACCCTTTCAGCCACCACATCAACCACCCTAATGTGGGGTAAATGTTCATAATATACCCTATGGATCCACATACCGAACCTGAGGTACGGTCATTGGAGACTATTTATGCAGGCTTTGAGGGTCCAGTTACCGTACCTGAGGTTCGGTATGTGGATCCATAGGGATAGATCTTCCATGCATGCAGGGTCGTGTTGGGCGTTTGTTCGATGCAGCGAGACACAGAACCAGAGACGGCAGGAGACCAGCGACACCCACAGCCTACAGCTTGAGAAGAGCACATCTTCAGTGTGATGAGCAGAAAGAAGGATTATTATATTATAGAGATCCAACTCATGACCTAGGGCACGCATCTGAAATCTTGTGTGGGGATAAGGATGAGAGCAAGGATGCCCACTCTTCTTCCTCTAGCATGGGCTGGTGGCCTCGCCCCTCCACGCGCGTCAGGCTGGGGCCTCTGAGTTGCTTCGCGGCAGCGCAGTGGTGGCGAGCACAGCCACGGCAGTGGCCTCTTGGGCGAAGGGTGGAAATAAGTCGATGTCGGTGCTATCGGTGCATGGTCACAGTTTGAAACTTGTTTGGAACTAGAGCCACGACCCAGAAGATGTCCATCCTGTGTTTGGTGGAGCTTCAAGGCCTCTTGGCTCAAATGTGGAGATCAGGCACACCCAAAATGGCCCACTTAGATTGCACATCTCCAATTTTTGCTTAGAGAGGTTAGTCAATGAACTTCCTTTCATGGTTGCACCATGTTGCGCCTCTGGCAAACAAAAACAAGTGTTGTACTCGTCCTGGCTATAGTACAGGAAATTAAGCCAATTTTAGGGCTTGACTCAACTGCGTTCCGGGGTCTTCGGGAAATTCCAACGTGGATCGGGACACGATTCCAGTTTCCAATGCTTCGGCACCCCAGCACATCCCCCTATGCCACAAGTGACTGCCCTAGAACTTCAAGTGACTGCAGCCGAGCCTTCAGGCTTTAGTCACCTGTGCGGGGAGCATCGCCCGGCTTGCAGAGAGTGGTCCCAAGAGCGCGCTCTTAGGCTTCGACGTCCGGGACAGACGTCGGCTGTCGGCTGTCGGTGTTTTTGACGTGGCCTCTGTTCGGTGCGATGTGTTGTGAGGGGCACCAACCGGTGTTGCTGACTCTTTGATTGTGACATAGTATGAAGCTTGAGGAACTAAAAGGCTCTGAGTGTGTCTGAGCTTAGGTGCTCATGGAGTTAAGGTGCTCATGGAGGCGTCAAAGCAGGGGTAATTTGATGACGGCTGGCTTTGTGAAGGGGCCAAGTGTATCCAGATGTGATGCTTTGGAACGGTTCATGACTCTCATCAAGGTCGCCTTAGCAAAAGGAAACTGCAGTTGTCTTTTTCACCTTGGAGTTCACCGAAATGACTCGACACCCCAAAAAAGACATCAACCACTTGGTCCCCAAAGATGTCCAGGACCGTTTCTCTTTCCTTCAGTTCTCACACTTCTCACATCAGCTGCCGAGTTGAGAAGCACTTCCGTCCCCCACGCCATGGATGGGGGTTTTCTGTGCATCCGCTCGAAACCCCTCGGATCCAAGACCGCTCCGGTCGAGGTCTCGCTCCGCTCAGATTACTCCGCGCAGCTCCGCGAGGTCTCACAGAAGCGCCGGCTGCGGCCATGGAGGGCGCCAAGATGGGGCCCCTAGGAGCAGTGGCAGGCGCCTTCTTCGCCCGAGCGATGGGCCTCTCCCGAGGGCGTCGGGTGTTTTTGTTTTTGGTCTGGGTCCCTCGAGGGCGTCGCGCGACTTCGCACGCTGCTATGTCACGATCTCTCACGAGGAAACTGACTAAGAAGCAACAGTTCACGAGGAAACTGACTAAGAAGCCTACACCGAGATCTTCGAAGATACGTGGAACACAGTTAGCAGATAGCTCCTGGAAGAGCTTGAAAGCTTGGATTCCCAAGCATGTAAATACAAAGAGTCGAATTGTCAATCCGGAACTCACAAACTTGGTTCGGAGTTGGCAGTTTCGGTGTCACCACAGAGGGGAGGAACTGTTCCCTACCATCGCAAAAGCGATGAGAGGCCATGTGAAGTGAGAGTGAAAAAGGCCATGCAGAAACACTGATTTTCAAAAAACTTTTCCGAAATCGCTGTCTCGCCTGCATACTCGCATGCATTTTGAATCATTTTGATACAAAAATAGACTTTGAACCCAAAATCATCCCAAACACAAAAACGATGACCCTTGTGAGATCGTGACGCAGCGTGCGAATTCCTCGGCTTCGTCCTCCTCGGGACCCATCCCTGCACCTTTTGGCCCCTTTGCACCGCCGCACCGCCGGCGTTTTGGCCGACCCGACATCGGCGAAGCACTGGAGTTTTACAGATGCAGTCAATGCAGTCTCACTGAGTTTGGCATCAAATCCCTTTTGGATCCTTTTGGCAGTTCGCCGGTGCAGCCGTGCTAGGTGTGAAGTGTTTTTTGTGCTATATAAAGACACAGTCTTCCAGCACACCAACCTCCGCCTCGGGGCTCAGGGAGTGCTCCTTCCGACCAAAGGGTGTGTCCCCCCACTCCGGACTGCTGTCAGTCGTAGGTGCCTTGGTGGCTGCGCACGGTCAGGGCGGCTCCCTGCAGCAGCGCTTGCAGCGCTTGGGCACCGCGGCGCGTGCCGAGCGGGAGCGCGTGTTGGAGGAGGCAGGAACCTCAGACGCAGGAGTAAGTGGTTTTGGGGGGGAAGGAAGTGAAAGTCCAGCTGTTTGGAGAAGTCAAAGCATCGCTGATGATGTGTTCTTTTGTTTCTTTCACTTCTTTTCTCCCAGGGCAGCCAGACCACAGACACCGAGTCTTGCGTGAACCTCAAACATAAATTTGTTGGTGTTTGTTGCTCTTGAGAGTTTTGAGTTTGAAGGCGCTTTGTTGTTTACCTATAATAACCCCCAGTTGCATAGACTGGCTCAATCTACTCGTACAATCTACATTGCATGACCATGCATAACCTATAAAACCGCTGCAAAGAATGTTGCTTGATGCTTTGTCATTCAGTTGATACGTTGTAAAAACCTGCCAACTTTTTAAACCCTAGGGTTAGTAAGTCCTGCAACTTTCTTCGGCCCTGGTCCACACTTGTGAGACCTACCTGGCTTTCTTCGGCCCGTTGAGCCCCCCTTTGATCCCGAAAAGACATACCATTTGGTTATTTAGAGACTCCAGCATGCCAGCTACCTAGGGATCTACAGATCCACGCTTTCAGTGGTTTCATTGAGGATGCGCCCTTTTCCAACTCATTCAACCTTGCTGCCATCCTGCCATCAAAAGACGCCGCCTCGAGTCTTATGTTCTTCGTGACCACACACCGTAGGTCGCCGCGCTTCAAATTCGGTGCTTGGTTTCAGCTGAGCATGGGCGGGGTGTTTTTTGTGCAGACTCTTCCGGAGGTTGCGGAACCAGGGCAAACCTTCCAGCTCAACAGGTTGAAAAGGACGCTACTAGGGGAGGCCATCGCTATTAGGTTGGAGGCCATCGCTAGGCCATCGCTACTAGGAGCAGGTTGAAAGGAACTCTCTTCCGTCTCTACCGTCTCAGGTCGATCGGATCAGTCGGTGAGTTTGGGGACCCTTCTGAATGGAGGGAAGTCATCCTTAAGAGTGGGAGGATTCAGAGAGGAAGATACTGGATGATCTGATCCCGCATGATCTTCGGACTAGAAAATGGGAGGGACATGACTAGGACTGACCCCTCCATGTGACTTTCATGGGGGATGATCTGAGTGCCTCACAAACAAAGCTTCTCCCATTCTGTGTCTTCGTCCACAGCGAATTCTGAAGGGGATTTCCAGTCTATAGAATCGTGAGAATCCTGAAAGGCCACGCAGAGGGTTTGGAGGAGTTCTTGCTCCCCGACATTTCTTGCTACTACGCTGAATGTGGAACAACCTACAAAACACTTGCCCCCACCAGTTAAAACGAGCCCGTACTGTTGAGGACAAGTTTTTTTGTAATTCGTTTGCACCGCTCAAACCACACCATGCGCAAATAAGCCTTAACCACTTAGCCGTGTTTTGCACCCATGAAACGTATCACAGGAGCCTCCATGCTTTGCTTAGCTTGCTTGTTTTCAATTTTCATTTAGCACCTGTTTGCGCATGAAGGAGCCATACCCCCTGTCATAGCAGCACATCTACAAGCGGCTTTGCCCAACTGAGTTATTTCCATAAAAGACCTCTATCGCTTCTGCTTATGATTATGGTAGTGTCAACATAAATGAACAAGGGACGGGTCTTCGATGGACTTCGGCGCTTCCTGAGCTCCTGGTCCTTCGCTTGCGAACACGTGTGCTCTCCCCTTCCATGTGATGTCTTCAGATCAACTGGTCAAATTCATCTCGATAGGTTCTGTAAAGGTTCCATGTGATGAGAATTCAGTGCAGGTTTTGTATGTAAACTCTGTGGAAACCCTCACTAACCACCCAACCACCCCTTTAACAAACCACAATAACCCACTCTTGCACAAGAGTGGGAAGGCAGGAAGCTGGACCCTTCCCCTCAGCCGTTTTCGAGGCCAAGCTCCGGCAGTGCGAGCTTGCCACTCTGGCAACTGGCAGAGCTCAGCTGGGCCGCATACGCTGAGGCGCACGGCCCCGAACGGGGCCAGTCACGGTCAGACCTGGTTGGAAGAAGATACCACTTCTAAGACATGGTTCACTGGTGATCCAGTACCTGCTTGTTTCAGTTTTTTTTTTTCAGTCAGTCTCCGCAAGATCACGACGGAATTCATCGAACAGTGAGCTGTTGGACCAAACCGTTGAGCTGGTTCTTCCCAAAACATCTCAGCCTGCTGCGGGAAGTGGAGCTCGCTCACGTCGCCATCGCATGGAGCGAGGACCTGAACAACCTGGAGTCGGTTGGCTCACGTCGCGGTGCAGGTCCTCCACCAACCCCTTCAGCAGTGGAGAAGTTATTTTTTTAAAGAAAACAATGAGGAACAAACTCATCGACCCACAGCTCATTGAAAAGCAGCAAACAGTCACCAGGCCTTGAGCCGACATCGGCCTCAACTGTAGCAAGTCAACTGCGTTGCATCATGTTGCATTGATGCTCGATCACGGAAATCCAGGTTGCCATGCAACTCAAAATTTGCAAGCTACGCAAACTTGGTTGAGATAGCACCAATCTAAACTCATCCAACAACTCCAACCACTGATTGATTTGGTGTGTAATGCCAAGCAATGCTCATTTGTAGTTTGTTGAGATAGCACCACTATCCAACAGACGAAACAGATTTCATCCAATCTGTCTTGGATGGTGGGCATCAGTCTGACTTGTGCGTTGTCAGTTTTTGCATGTTTTTGCCGGTGTTCTCGTTGCTCCAGGCAATTCTAATTACTTTCTCGTTCCTTTGTAATTATAACTTGTTGTTGTTCGCTGGCTAGATGGACAAACAGCATAAACATATTGACACTCATATTGACATATTTATGAAGAGGTATTAACATCCAAATGGGGGTTTATTGATCGAGAGTCTACATAAACTACTGGGATACATGGCCAAAGGTTTGTAAGTTGGTTTCCGAAAAGTCACCATGGAAATCGATGAATTGCCATGGTTTGTTTTGATCCTGTAAGGAGGAGCTTAGCAAAAAGCATGAACCTCCCAAGTGTAAGTGCCTTTGGCCTTGGCTCCATATAATATATATATACATATACTGTATATATATAATATAATTATGTTATATATTTACAAATAAATTCCTTTCCCTCAGACTTTTTTCTGACTGAGACATCAGAGTCTTTTGAGACCAATCTATACTCTGGAAAAGGCACTTTCTTGGATGCCGTGACCGGTCTGGATTAATAGTTTGGCTAATTTTCATATGTGTCTTAAGCATGAACACAATTGTCAAAAGTGCTTGTTGTTTTTTTTGCCTAGGCCTAGGCCCTAGGCTCAATCGTCAGAACCCCTCCATCAAGTACTTTGCAGATGTCATCCTGACGTCAATGACGTTTGCATCAACATTGACAACCTGAAAGGGATTATCTGAGAAGACTTGAGGCGTTCACCGGTGGACCAGGGAACCAACACGGTTCACTGGTTGAGCTGGCGGCTTATCTAAAACTTCTCCATGGCTGCCTGTGGTGGTTATCGGCCACCCCTACCTTTGCAATCATAAGCAGCTTTAAGACGTCCTGTGGTCGCTGCGGCGTGGAGGTCGAGTGGAACGCGGAGATTCAAACAGGGTAACACATGTTAAAGCCGTATGTGGTCCCTCATAGGGTTAGGATATGAGGGACAGAACACAGTTTCAAGAGTTTTCAACACAAGGTCCAAAGCAAGCGAAGACCGAGCTTCATGCAGCCGAGCCATCATTTCTTGCTCTATGGAGTCTCCATGGAGTCCACCTACCCCGCTGTGAAAATCGGTTTGTCCAAGCTCTGCATTGTCACAAGATATGCTGACTCACTCCCAAGTCACTGCAAAGCTGAATCAGACTATGATAGATTTTGATGAGAGATTGCACATCGAACAATTCCAATGATTTCAAGAAAGGACCTACAAACTCATCAAAGTCATGGAATTGACCACGTGCAGATTCACGGTGTCCCCTGATGTCCCCTGCATTCCTTGGAAACAAAACTCTCCTGGCGCAGTTTGCGGAGGCGGAAGTGGATGGTTTCCGGCGTGCAGCATGGTGGCATTTGGTGCACGTCTTTTTTGCACGTGGCGTCAAAAGCAGGTGATTGCCACGAACATCGTTTTGGTCGATTGTTCGGTGGCAATTGAAATTTATTTTCTCTTGCTGGCATTGCATTTCGGGGCCCATTGACCATATACAAAAAAAGAAATCGATTCCTTCTGGGTGGACTGATGTGGATGTTGGGTTCGATTTTTTTAAAAAACGTCTCTTGTTCATCGAAAACGGTGCCAAACGCTCTCGTGCCAACAGCCGCGCGGTCTGGTCGTCTGGTCGTTCCGTTCGCGCTGAACGTGCCAGGGCAATGCCATGGCAACATGGAAAACACCGGGTCCCGAGAGCCGGAAGACGATGTTCCTCTACCACTAACCAGTGCCTTACTAGTAGTAACAAGTGCCTTACTAGTAGTAACAAGAAGCTAGTAGTAACAAGTGCCTTAACCAGTGGTTTTCAGGTTCTATGTGGATCTCGGGACCCGCGCGTACTTGGCAAAGGGCAGGATTGTCACATCTAACCACCCATGAAGAATCGGGAAAGCTCAGATGATCCTGTCAATGCTGGGTGTCCTTCCCGTGGGAAACTAACTTATTTGTACAGATTATTATACCAGCACCTCCCAGGTTGGCTGGTTTGACCTGTTTGTAGACCTCATCGACCTTGATGCCATGCCAACATGCATCCAAGATCTCACCTCTTAGAAGTCACTGATCTGTCTCAAAAGTCTCACAAACACAGAAGACCTCGCATCCGCAACCGAAAAACATGCCGCCCAAGACCAAGAACGGGACGGATCGGTTTGGGCCGGCTTTTGCCTCGTGTTTTGGCCGTTTTCCCGAAAGAAACCGGTGGAGAAGCCACGAGCGCTCGCCACCGGAAACGCTGCCGTGAACCAGGACTTGTCGGGCCTTCGTGATCCGGAAGAGGAGGTGAGCGAGGGATGGATCCCGGATCGGAGGGGTTCGCCACTCCAAAGATCACGGACAGAACACTGTTTTTGCATTTTGAAACATGGGCAGTCGACAGGAAGAGCATAGGTTTTTCTTTTTTAGAGCAAAGACCATTTGCAGATCGTCACTGCAGATCTCCTAATCTAAGATCTATCAGCCTCATTTTTGGGATGTCATGGGGGCCCTAATTACATTTGCCGCGAAGCTGACCTGCTGGGAGATTTGGATGATCTAGGTTTTAATGAAGTCAATGACAGATGGTACTACATGTTCTGTCCACCTGGTTGAATTTTTGCTGGATTCCTTCAAAGCCCGCCGAGCCTCACTGGCGGCAGAATTCCCAATCGTGGACACCAGTAACTAATCAAATTGGAATGTCCAGATTATCGCGGTCTATTTGGAGCTGCCCACTTAAGCACAAGTTAATTGGAAGAGAAGGGATTCAACTAGCGTAATTTAGCGCTACGTGGGACACCATTTCTTGATTGGTTCATTAGAATCGGAAGTGCCCATTCTATGTGAGGTTCGAGAAAGCACGTTCAGATGGCACAGCTCTCAATCATTGTTAGCTATATAATGCTATATATAGGTCCTTTTGGCATCAGAATGACTTGCTTTTTGTGATCATTGATTTGAGTCACATACTATACTATAGGGAGGTCTCAATATGTTTTCTAACATTCTAACAGCAACTCAGCCTCAGACTTGCTTGCCCAGCCGCACCTCTAACCGTCTCGGGGGGGGTCCAACCTGCCGGAGGTGGAGGCGCAGATGTCCATCTTCCTCCGCCGTGGTGGTTCTGGGTCCGCGGACCTGGCGGTGATGGTGATCCGCGGCACGGCAGACCGGCATGCGCCTCGGGCGAGGCAGCCGAGGGGTGGTGCGAGAAAACGGTATGAGGGACCGCCCAGGTGATCAGGGGTGTGTATTAGAATGGGATAGAATCTCGGAGACACCCTCCAAAAAACACACACTGCAAGAAAGAAAGTAGACATCTGTAGACCAAAACCATCCAAAACCCCTTTTGGTTGGTCTCCCTATTGCAATAATGACACGCCCAAATCAAAGAAAGAGCTTCATTGTGGTGATCCCACCCACAATTCGTGACCGATCATTGCCATGCACACAGTTCACATGTATATACACAGTTCCATGGGAGCTGTGCCATGGTGCTCGCGCGAGTCCCGATGTGGTGGATGAATCGATCGCATGAAGGGTCATGGGAGTCGCCCAGGGCTAGGTGTCCAGGTGCGCGTGCGCCTCTGCGCGTTCTGTGGAGCAACTTCCCACCATTTTGAGCGAAGACAACATCCAAGGGGTGAAGGACACACCAAAAATAGAACTGAGCACCAAACATTCGGACCAAAAGAGGATAAGGTACTTGGAAACCCAACTCTGGGCCCCGGACGTTGGATTTTTGATCGTCTTCAGAAACAACGAGTACGGTTCCGAGAACGACGAGTCTCAGATGTTCCCACATAGAGTTTCAAGATTCTGAAATCCAGCAACCTCTGAAATCCTTGAGGTTGTTGAAATGGCTTGGACGTCCCACGAAAGGCGATCTTTTTCTTGGTTGGACCGTGGTTTACTGATAGTGTTTCAAGGAGCTCACTTCCCTTGATCCGGACAACAATGCTGTAGCCTGCAGCATGGTCTTTCAAAGACGGGACAGGATGACGTGCCAAGTGTTGCTGATTTTTTGTATGATTTGTTTGAGGTTTTTGGAATGCTATAGTTTTGTTCATGTCCAGTTTGCCCCTTGCCTAGGTTATTGAACACGCAATGCCTACGCTATATTATAGCATTCAGCCGCCTTTGCTCCCTTGAGGACACGAAACGCGACTGGCACTCCGTGGTCTTGGGCGTCTACCCGGGCGCATTCGTGTTGACTGCCGCGGAAGTTGTCAGGCGGAGCTGAAGTGCATTCACCTCGTTGACTAGATGCCGCTAGATGCTATACTATACAATCAACTACCTTGCTTGGACCATTTGGACACGCAGATGCCATCACAATGTGTTCTCCTCCCGTGCACTAACACGTACGCCAGAAGACCGAGTCTTTTTTCTGGTCTCACCAATGTCCTTGGTCTTTGGGACCGGTAAGCTGCGAGAATGCCATGGTGGCAGGTTGTTCAAGCAGAAGATTCAAAAGAAATGGGTCTGGCCAGTACGGGTCTGGCAAAAACCGAAGCTGGACCCCGAATGAACATGTCATGACCACCTGACCACCTCCTGAGATGTGAAAGACCTGGGAGACCTGGAAGCGTGCCCTGCAGATGGCCTCTATTGTAGAGTCTTGATTAATAAACCCCCCATAGTGAAGAGGCTTTGCACTTAAGATTGGGGAGGTTAATAATCAAGAGCCTACCTTAAGATATGTTGTGCAATCTCTTGAAGAGACTCAGGGCCAAGGTGCCAGGCACCTTGGCCCTGCGGAGAGTGCCCTCCAAGCCCAAGAATTCAACGAATCCAAACACGTGTTGATGGCATCATGGTTCTCCCGGAAAAGGAGTCGTCAATTTGGACTGACTGCTGTGTTTGGGTGAATCAACACAGCCCACGATTTGCTTGGGTGTGGATTGCGTACCGACCAGCAAGTTGTGGAGATGAAGAGCTAGCAAACCAACCAATTCACAATCCCTTGCCCCAAATCTCAGGAAAGTGAGCCTGTGGAAAGTTGGAGTTGCACAAAGTTGTTCGTAGAGAACGACTAAGAGCATCCAAGAGCTGGAGCGGTCGTTTTTTCGGTGTTCACTTTTCCCCTGGCAGGATGTATCAAGAGCAGGGCTGTGAAGTGATGGTCACTGGACACTCCTTGGGTGGATACTTTGCAGAGGTCCTTTCAACGACCTTAGGTGCCCTGGCTGAAGCGATCGTGCGCCGTCGCCGACGGGCAGTCGTCGACGGTGGCGTTGATGGTCGGAGATTGGGAGACTGGGTCAGAGGCAAACTTTGAGCCGCCTCATTCCTCTCTTACGGCTCCATGGAAATCAACTGCCTGCGTCGATGAAGGGCTCGACATGGTTCATTTCTTTGGATGATTCCAGAGTGATTTGTGATGTAGTAACGTGTAGTAACGTCTTGGTGCTTGATGTAGTGCACTAGTGATGTTGCCCCGATGTGGGAAGGGAAAGCATTTTCCACATCTTGGGAGTAGCTTACTACTAGTAACAAGAAGCTACTAGGAACAAGTGCATCGCTTCTAGTAACAAGTGCCTTACTAGTAGTAACAAGAAAGCTACTAGGGGCTCCTGGCATCGCTACTAGGAACATGAAGCTACTAGGGGCTCCTGGGAACATGAAGCTACTATGCTATTTTTGTTGGAGAGCGTATATACACCAGTTTGCACTCTGCACCGAGTCTACACCATTCACCCGAGATATTGCGATGTGCTACATCAACCTGTGGCCAGCTTCAAGCTTCCACAGAAGTGGCTGGAACTGGCTACCCTTTGAAGCACAAGCTTTCATTGGATCATCCCAGAATCGACCTGCAAGCGAAGAAAGCGCTTGATAGACTTATAGATCTTTATGGGTTTATAGCTTCTATTCTTTTAAAGACACACTCCTGCAATGTGCGAGGAAAGTGAGGTTGGCACAACCGGCGCGCTGGGCGGCACCTTTCTGGTTTGGCTTGCATGTTCCACCATCTACTCTTCATTAGACACAAACATATTCAGCAGATCACCTGCGCTCGGTACACCCAAACGAGCCGCGCTGGGTCGACCCATCCCCCGAAGGCTGTATGGCTTGTTACTTGGGGCCGTTCCACAGCGACTCCGCTGGGACGCTGCGGCTCCGCCTCGCCTGGATCCAGGGTGAAGCAGGATCACAGGACCTCTGTCACCAGCACTTCCACCAGCATCACTTCCACATCCTACTTGCAAGAAAGAACTGACAAGAGCCCGCCCCACGTGAACCGACGCTCAGCTCGCTGAGGTCTTCCTGGCTGCGCCTTTGCTGCGCCGGGCCCCGGAAGTCATTTGGGCCCCTTAGAGGTGCCTGGCTTTCTGGTGGTGAACCACGAGGTGCGCCCGGCATTCGGTTGGAAGGGAAGACGAGCCAGCATGGGATTTGGGCAAAGCAAGGTTATAAGGAGCTCATATTTTGATTCTTTTCCGGTGGTATGATGTCTCTTTAAGCCAGCACCTTTTCTTGGATGTGCTGTCTCTTTGCTCTTTGGGGTGGCTTTCCTCAGCTTTTTGACTCGACATCCAACTTTAGGGTCAGAGTCTTTGCTTTCGCTCGCTGGTCACGTCATCTTTGAGACCCGGGTCGAGCAGAGCTTGGACCTGTCCGGCCCAGCATTTCACGGTGAGGCGGACTGCATTGGGAACCATAACTGTGACCTGCACATGCAACCGCCCGTCACCTGGAGGCATGCAAGTTGTTGTAGAAACTTTGCAGACTGTGCATGGCAGTCAGATCCCGCGTTGCGGCTATTCGAATCTCACCATGCAAAAGCAATCGTTTCCTTTTGGGGCGGGATGATGCAGACGCTTTGCCATACAAGGGCTGTCCCAGGAGCCCAGCCAAAGACATGCACCGGGTGACCTGTAAAGTGACACATAGATGTTCCTTGAAAGGGTGCACTACGCGGCAACTACTATGCAACAGGCATTCTGCACCTGGTTCTGCACCTTGTCGCCTTCACGGTCGGAAGGGTTTTAGAATCTTCGGTGGATTCTTCTTGCAAAGTGGGTTGGGTCATTGGTCAGCAGAAAGGAATCCAAGAGGAAACACTGGCCTTGGGACCGATATCTCCACCACCAACTCCTTTGTCCTGACTATGTCCTCACTAGGCCGGGCTGGTAAGGAAATGGCGAACATCGTCGAGCTATTTCAGCGGATGATAAATATCTTGTAGGGAAAATCTACAGGAGACCTAATCGGTTTGGGGAGAAAACATGACCAGTCCTGTATACATGTTCCATGTTGTTTCCCTTTCAACCAACATTTGGCTGTGGGTCAAAACCCAGAGCCCCAAATCAGGGTAGGTTGACCTCCTCAGTAGTCCGTTCTTTTTCTGTGGTCGACCAAGGTACCCCAGACAATTGACCCACAGACATTTGAGAAATCATTCCAGTCTTTTGTCACATGAAGTTCCATGATGTTCCCCTTTCAACCAAAATCCATTGGGAAAAAAATGTCTTTTTGTTCAATCTCTTGGGTTTACCTCGAGGTCTATCTCTTGGATGACGGCGTGCTTCTCCTGCCCTGGACTGCGCACCGCATGGACCGCATGCTGCAGTCCATGAAGAAGCGACAGGTGCGCGGCGGCATTGGGACAATTGGAGGCTTTTTAGGTCAGAAGACGCATGGATGTGGGAGGGCATCCACAAGAAAAGAAGGAGCCTGAACATAAGCCCCAGATGTAAGAGGGATCACTCGAAGTAAAGTAGTTTCTTCCGATGAAGCCATCCCATCCGATGCCTGGTCCTCCCTCCGGGCCCGTCCAGGACTGGACGAATCTCACGGCGCGGCAGCTCTGCGCCGCGGAGCCGGAACCGTCAATCCCCCGTGTCTTTCCGGGCCTGCGCTCGCGGCGATGAGGGTCGGCGTCTGGAGTCGACAAGAGCCGCCGAAGTAGCGAGCAGTGACGGGGTCGACCATGATGGTGGTGTTGGTTGATTGATGTTGGTTTGTATTGTAATTCCTTGTGGTTCTCACTCTTTGCAGGGAAGAGTAACATAGATGAACACCCAGCACTGTTAACGCTGAACACCTTCAGTCTTGAGTTTGTTTTTTCCTCCTCCCGTGCGAGCTCGCTCCAGAAGTGTCTTTTTCGTTCTGAGCTCAACGAAGTTGAGATCTCAGCTTTCAGGACCTGGGGAGATTGGAGTTTACTCAAAAAACATGACAAACAGTAGAAAGCACCTGCACTTGGACCCACAACTGTTTCATGAAAGCCTCAACCATGGTCTGAGAATCACCATTTTCTTATTTTCTTCTAAGACAATTTCTTTATGGCTGTGTAGCCCCAAACGGCAGACCGACCGCTTCGGCGTTTCAGGACCTAAGTCAGACTGGAAGTTCGCCCCAGCCGCGAGGGTCCGGGATGGTCCCCAGCGCTTCTTTCGATGGAGAATCCAACTTCCCAGGGTGCGGGTGGACATTTTTTTGACCAGATCTTCACACCCAACGAACAGGGCCCGCCTGTTGGGAACGCTGGACCGCGCCCGGGGAACGCATTGCGCGGCGGAAGCTCGCTCCCATCGGGCGGGCGAAACCGGGCGGTTCTGCTGCCGCGGTAGAAAAGGTGTGATTGTGCAGATGTTGGGAGGGTTCCTAATGTGGCCCCAGATGGTGTGATCCATGAGGGAGAAAGAACAGATTGACATAATACATTGAATAAGAAGGAGACACATGCCAAAGGGGCTTACTTCAACCGTTTCTTTAGTAATCGTGATACTTTCCTGCTTGTCACTGCGCTTGCAGAAAGATGGAGTCTTGGAAGATGAAGATCCGTTGGTTCTGGGGACTGGCCACTGAGTGCTTCTTGTGAATAACCTGCTCAACCCGTGACTTATCCTAGGCGGACGATGTGCTCTCAGTATTCACAAAGCTACTGATTTGCTAGAGCAGTTATTAGGGGGGATCTTTGGGCATTCTTGTGGCTCTCGTCCACTCACCCCTGGTCTAGATGCTTGCCCTTGGCTCTAGATATATGACATGATTTGATATGCTTTGCTTTTGGGAGTGTGTTTTTTTCCTGTGTTTCTGGCAGCCAACGGGATTCCGCTTTGGAGGCGGACTTTTCTTTGAGGCCGCCCCGAGTCATGTTGGAGGTGATGTTCATCATGTTAGAACATGACCGAGTTTCTAGGTGATTAAGAGTGGGCGGATTGTGGGGTATTGAAGCCTGAACACAGTTTTTTCACGGAGAATACAGTGCGGTGGTGTGCGGTGTTTGCTAAGATGTTTCTTTGCCAAGGGTATCCTCCAAGCCTAGACTCCTGGACACTCAGTCATGCTGCTCTTCGCCGTGCCCAGGCAGCTGAATAGAAGCAGAAAACACCCATCGATCACATAGTGTGGAGTCATCGAATATGGATGCCCAACAGGGCTGCCCAGGGCTTTGCCATCCAAAAAAGGTGTTGAAAGTTAGCTCCTAGATCCTCTGATAATTTATATATTTGTACAGAAGTTTCATGAATTTTCTGCTATTTAAATTGGTTGGCTTGGTGCCGAAACGGGGGCCTTTCATGCAAGCTCTGCAAGCTCTCAAAGAAGCAACATGGTCAAAGCCAAAAAGACGATCATCTTGACGACCAATTCTTCAGACTTTTGAGGAAAGCCATGGGCGCCGGATCGGGCCCAAGCTGACATAAATGCTTTAAAAACACAGAATGTTCAGCAGAGCTGTCTGGTGGATGCCTTTTTTTGGTGCTGGGTGGATGGTTGCAGATATATAGGATGCAACAGATGGTCATTGGTTGGTGTCTTTGATCAAATGCGTTTGGTTTTGGCCTCTGGATCGGAGTGCTCCTCGATTTCGACCATGTCAGGCAAGCAGTCGAAGCCGTGAGCAGAAGCCTCACGCACTCTTCGAGCCCCCCCGAGTCACTCAACACCAGAGGCCCCCATAGTCGCAGGTGACAAAAAAAACGCTCCGTGAGCAGCGTTCAAGAAGACGGTTGCAAAGCCTAAGACCAAAAAGGGTTTTGGAGCACCAAACCTTCCGTGTCCAAATCATTTTTCTTTTCTCTCCGGTGTCTTTTGGGACGCCTTCACACATTCAGTCCTAAGAAGAATCCGGTTGTTCCACGATTGATGAGAGAATTTTTTTCGCGAACGAACGCAGATGTCTATCTGGTCTGGCTGGTGTATCTGGTCTGGCTTCATGGTCATCGGTCTGGCTTCATGGTCATCCAAAGGCCCTATGCCATTACCCAGACGCTCCATGTATTACATTGCTGTGGTTTGGGGGGGTCAATGTAGGCATATATTCCATACATGGAGTGTATGGGTTAGGACTGTGTCCAATCGATCTCGGATCCAACGCCTTCCGAGGTGGAACACCACTTGGCCTGTTCCAGGCCGGAGTGGACCGAAGGGGTATTTTCTTTGAGTTAGGGTATTGGCCGCAAAGAAAAAAAGCCTATATATAAGAAAGGGTTCGGATCAAACACCTAGAACTGCCTCCCTAACGTGTCATGTTCTAGATAATTTAGCTATACAGTCTATACATGTAACTATGAGCAAGCAATGGTTGAATGGCTATAGCTAAATATACTTTGCACCTTAGCCCTGGCAGTGGCTTTATAACGCGTTGTCAAAACAGTAGTTGCTTGATTCATGGTTCAAAAAAAACCATCAGTGAATAGACATTGTAAACTAGTGGTCAATCAGTCTAAAAGACTGAATCAACCTTTTGGGGCAAGGTCTTGAGCCTTCTGAATGTCGGACCATTCATTCATGTTTCATGGCGCAATCGCCTTGAAACATACTTAATGTCTGAAAGGTGCCCAATCCTGCAAGAGCCATTCTTATCCATTTTGCTTCAAAACAAAAGGGAGGGGATCAGCAGATGAAGGGAAGGGATCTCAGCAGATGAAGCGCGCGGATGTTCATCCACTGCGGGATGGGATCTGTTGGGAGCTGAAGAACGCTGCAGGTCCGGATGAGCAGCAATAGATATCGCCATAGCAATATAGGGTTTGTCCGAAAGACATCCATCTCGTTGGGAGATGAAGGCGAGTCTTCCATCTCCAGGGTGTTCGTCAGGCGATATCCATCTCGTTGGGTTCTTCCATCTCCTTCCGGGGACAAAAAAAAACACACACGCTCGGACCTGGGAGTCTCTCCGGATCCCATCGAGGTGGAGACCGGCCTGATGAGACGTGGGGACGTCCCCACGGCGGACCTTTTTGGAGACCGGAGACAGTCCCTTGAGACCCAAGGAAGCTGGAGACCGAAGACTATCCCTCATGTCCATGGCCCCTCAAGCCATCCATTCCATGGTCGGTCTGAGTACTGGAAAACATGGCTTCATGGAATATGGACCCATTTGGCTTCATGAAGCCCATTGGTTCCAGTGGCTGAGAGCTGAACTTGCTGTGTGGTCGAGAGTTCTTATCACCGAAAACTGCAGCCTCACAAGAGGATGAAGCCTCACACAATCCATGGGTGAGAGGGTTGCCAGTGTACCTTCAGTCTCAAACTACAGCCGTACCTGTCTTTGATAGGGCTACTTGAAGTCGGGTCCAGGTAGGGCTCATGGCCCAAAACGACCACCCCCCCCACTGACCAACCAACCCTCACTCTCGGGTCTTCGAACTTTGGGGAGTCTTTGGACCGCCAGGTGTGGGTACTTTTGCTTTGCATTGCAGCTGAGCAGAATGAGTGGAGCGGTCTGCAGAGCAAAAGAGATAAGAGTGGTTGCATGGGTTTGCACCTGTTGGTACTGTGGGGTGGTTGTTGCTTCAGATTTCAAGGGTCAACCTGGAAACCCTTGAAATGTATCAGGTTTCCAGGTATTCATCAGTGGCTCACAGATGCTGAGCTGGAAAGGGTTCAGGTTTCCGGATTGTCTCGAAGTCTGTTTGCAGCCAGAAGCAAGAGCAACTAGTTTGCAAAGGAAACTTGTCTTTGCAGGGAACCACTTTCAGTGTCCATGCTTGTTTCGGAGGGTATGCATACGGTATGCATACAACAATGCTTTTGGATCTCTTTCAAAATGACCAAATGGTTGATTATGGCCGAAACCCACAATCGTTGGGAGCCGAAGCAGCTCGTCAGAGACCTTTTGAAGACTCCATTGGCGCATCCTCCATCTTGGACTGCTTTTCACTTGGGAAGCCAGGTCTGTTGATGCTTGTGTCATGAATGTAGGATCACTCAACTTTTCGGGCCTTCTCGTTCTCTTCGTCACGAAGCTGTCAAGGCACCTGGATCGGCCGAGAAACCTGGTGACCACGTCCAGCGCCCAGGTCTCTGGGCAAGCTGCTGTGTTCGTCGGGCTCTCGGGCGCTGGGCGGCATTGGGCGGCACCGGGGGCACGGCATGACGTGCGGGCAGGACACCTATTGGTATGCTGACTGGGGAGAGGTAGTTTGCAGTGTTTCCTTGTATTCGGCCTTGAAACACTCTGCAGAAGCAGAACCCAGTTATTCAGAGCTGTTCTTGCAAGAGTACAGACAGGCCAGGGTGCCTTTTGGTCCATCTTCCATCATCTTCCCCCATGCGCGTGCTGGAGAAATTCAGATGTCTCTCGCTCGAACAGCCGCGAACTCATCGACAGGCGGAGGACGATGAGTGTGGGCAGGGAAGCTGTGCGGGGAACCTCAAAGCAGTCGCAACGGGTTTGTTTCGGCTCTGCAATCGTCCGTTCCGGCTACCTGGACTAGCCCGGCCTATACATCACTAGACTGGATATATTCCTGGATGGTTTAGGTAGTTGCTAGGGGTTCAATGGTAGAAGAGTCCACCTGACGTGATGAACATTGGTATTGTTTTGACAACTGATGAAGGGTTTCAACATGTTTTAACGTTGATGTTGTTCTTACACACCCGTGCGTAGATAGGACCCACGCAGCACAATGGTCCTCGAAGACCATGTCCACCGAACAGTTGCCCTGGATCCCAACATCGAACGACTCAATCCGCAGGCATTCTCGGCCCTACAAGACCGTGCGCGGAGAGAAGTGAAGGAGACGAGTTCGGCCTTAGAAATTGGAGAATGGTGACATATGGTGACTGATATTAGACTTCCAGATAAGATAGAAAAGATTAGAAGTTCGTAGATCCCCACTTAAAAATGTATTGGACACCGTGCCACTATCTATTTGGGCATCACTATAAGCCTTGAGAGACTCTGTGAGTTGTCACATTTGTGGAATATTGACATGCATTGGGGTGGTTTCAAAAGTCCAATGCCTTCGAATCGGATGGGAACTGTAAAGTGAACTACTGACAGAGTCGGGTTTTGAACACTCCCTTGTTTTTGTGTTCCAACCCGGACACAATGGTCAATGAAGTGAAGGGGAAGAACTAGGGCATTCAGGATGGATTGGGAACTACATGGATGCTCCAAACATCTCACTACAAGGAGGGTTCAATTCAAGTCATGCACCTTGAATAAGGCATCCCACTCATGGAGATATGACCACAAATTGTCAGGACATTAAGACTTTTAGCAACTTGAAGATAGGATTGGTCAACATCTAGATAGGAGCTCACTGGTTTACATGTTTTTACTTTTCAGGATGAAATCCAGGTTCAAGATGGTTCTGAGAGGCTTTTTGGTGTTATTTCGCAGGAACGCAAAGTTCTAAAGTCTAAACTTGCCTGAATAGCCTCCGTTTAACGGAACTTCAGGGTTAGTTTGAAGTCTTCTATGAAGTTTTCCTTCCAGGAGTCACAAAGGGGTAGATTTTAGTCCCATCAAGGGCACCCCTATCCTCCAATAGGCATCCCTTTGCGACTCCTGGTTAGTGAACTTTATTGCTTCCCTTCTTGAGGATTTCTCAATCCTTTCGTGTGACCAAAAGGAGGAGCTGAACTTCACGACCCCTTTCCGGATGCTAAAGAACTCTTTGAGTGGCAGGCGGGGAATACCCGCGACATGCGCGCATGCAGATGGGGTCGAAATGGTTCGAGTTGCAGAGAATGGCCCCCCTTCGTGATGTTCATCCTGGAACTATACAGAGTGCGGAAGCCGGCTGAAGTGCAGGAGCATGTAGCCTTCTTAGACGATATTAGTTAGTCATTTAGAGCCCAGATTGAGTATATCTACTGTGACAATCCATACTTCAAGATCAACCTGCAAGACCTCCTATTAGGAAAGTGCAATTGTTCCAGATGATCTCTACCATTTCTATCCATCTCTCTAACATTGTATGAACTGAATGCTATTACAGTATGCGTCTGTGTTTGATCGAGCTATCTCCCCTGCTATGGTCCTTTAGGGGGGTCCTCATTCTTTGAACCATTCCATGGATTTGCTTTCGCAAGATCCGGTCCACACCACATCTGCTGACCGGATGGTCCATACCCCAACACCCCCCCACGACCGCTGGTGAAAGAAGGCGCAGCTGAAACGCTGCGCAAGATCGATACTCAAAGACCCAGCACATCCCAGCGCGCACCTTCCAAGTCGGGTGGGCGTTTGGGGGTGTCCCATCACCTCACCTCTCAGAAAGGCTTTTGGGTGCCCATGGACAGCTGAGACGGAGGGTCCGGGTGGTTGGATCCGGATGTGGGGCATGTCTGGACTCCAGCGCTCTCCAGGTGTTTGGCCATCGCTGGTCCAGGGGTCGTGGGCGACACTCTGATGTTGCTGGACCGCGTGAGTGGTGCGGAGGGAGATCAGATGAGAGAAGCTGAGAAAGCCCAGACTCCTCCGATGTACTGCAGGGTGACTGTGAGTAGGTGAGATGGCAAGCGTAGAACGTGTTTCGATGTTGTTGGCCGGGTTCTTATAAGGGTTCTCTTTTAAGTCAAGTCATGGCCCTATCTCATCCACCAACTCACACAGGTTGTGAAGTGTTTCGCCCACTGATTCAAACCATTTCTCAACAATTTGTTCGATGCTATAGCTATATCTATATATTATATGGCTTTTTGCATGAAAAAGCGTTAGTGTGACACAGAACTTACCCCACTAACGGTCCTGTCATGGCCATGCCTTTTTGACGTACCATCCCAGTGGACGTCCGGTTGAAACAGGTGCTAAGCAGGTGCGTCCAGCCGCGCAATCGGACCTTTCCGACCTGTCAAGGGGTGAAGATGTGAGCCGCTGAGGCTGAGGAACAAGTGCATCGCTTCTAGTAACAAGTGCCTTACTGGTAAGTGATTCCTGTGATTATTTTCTTTTCGCAAACCAGGTGGCTCAAAGGTTGAACTTTTTGTAGATGGCCCTCGGTTATAGTCTTTGCAATCGAGCTTATGATAAATAGTTATATATATATATGGGTTTTAAGGGCCTTAGCTTGCAAACCTGGCAAGCCAGCTGGAAGGTCTCTCAAGATGGTCACACTTCATCTTAGCAACAGTACCCAGTCCCATAGTCGGTTTCATCTGTCACATACCGTACCCTAGCTTTTTATATGATGTGTGTACATTAAGATGCTAGTTATATATAATAGTAAAAATACAAATGTATTATTTAGTTATATACTATATTATGTGTTAACATACTTCAACATACTATTCTAAAAAGGCCCAGGACACCGAGCCCCACCGACCGAGCCCTTTGCGCGGCAGCCAGGACTGCGGCTCGGCGATCCAAAGGATCCAAGACTTCCGTCTGGCCCAGGCGGCCGCAGCTGTGACGGTCGACCCACTGGTGACCCGTAGCACCGGTTGACCCGCGGGGCCGGGGGGCAGCCGGTTGGAGTTTGATGTTTATTCAACATGAATCTGATGGGTATGACTTCCTGGAAGAACCACTCCCGGTCTATGTGACTTGGCACAACTGAAGCTGTGGTTTCACGACCGAAGGAAGGAACAGTCAAACATTTTGAGCCTCCTCAACCATCACTGTTTCACACACGGTCATCTTCCGAGAATCCTCGCGGGAAAGAATGATTCTGGTGGTTCTCGGCTGTAGGAAAGCAACCACAAAGCTTTGCTCAGAAGCCGAACGAAAAGCAGACGTTGCCGCAAGGCCTCTTAATGCAGACTCTTGATTGATAAGACCCCCTGAAGAGAAGAGGTTTTGCCGTCCGAATGAGGGGGTTTCATGAATCAAGAGTCAACAATTACATGCACAGAAGATGCTCAGAACTGTTGGGACATTCTTGCATCGTGGCCCAAATCCGCAGTTTGGGTGACCAATATGTTGGTACATGTTGCATCATGTTGCTCCCACGCACGTGTCTTGCAACGTGTCTGACGAGTCTGACTTGCTTTGCTGAGGCTCTTTGATCCACCCTTTTCTCATCTATAGCCTACTGTAATTAGGGCGATCCATACATGGTCAGACTGCCAGTTTTGGTCCACAAGCTAGTACTCACTTCTGCTACCCCAAGCCGACTCGTTGACTGAATCACCAGGAATCACCCGAACAGGGCGCGTGCCGTTTTTCACAGCCCTAGGGACGGCAGCGGAGGCTCACCATGGTGTGGTGGCTTCACAGGAAATCGAACCGCTTCTGTTGGTGGATGGGTTCCTGCCGATGTTTGGCCTCACGGAAAGCCCCACCGCATCTCACCTCCGCCGTCTTCCAAAGAACGGCCAGGGGCACTTGGTCACGCTGGGGGAGGGCGAAAAGCCTCTCTGCGTGATCTTGGAAGGCAAAATCAGGGAGACAGTCTGGGCTGTTGGGTGCGAGCGAGGAAAAGACAGACAGGTTGGCTGCTCATAGAGAAACATATGGAAACATGATGTCCACAGTATTTCATCGTCATGTTTTTTCTAGAACATTCTGTCGGGACTTACCTCCAGAGACCAAGGGGATCCAAGCTGTGGAAATCGGACATGCGCGCGAAAACACACTCCAAATGCAAGGATTGAACATGCAAGTCAACATCCCAGTAGGGGATGCTTGATGATGGCCTCCAGAGGCGTGCATGTTGACCTTGATCCATCAATGGAAGACTACTTCTCTAAGGGAAACTGCTATGACTGCTATGATAGTTGTGACACGTTAATCGTGCGATTTGCTTGTCTAATAAGCAACCATTGCCAGAAAGTCTTTTGGGCTGGGGACTGGGGACGGGTACCAAAAGCAAGTAATGAGAGTTCCGAAATGAGCACTTGCTAAGTGCAATGTACTGTTGATGAACTGCTTATCTTGCATTTGCAATATAAGATGATGTTTCGAGAGTCCCAGCGCTCTTGATGGAGGATCAACACATTAGAATGTAGACTTGAGATTACCACTTAGGTAGGAGCCATCTAGAGTTTCTCTCTCCTCTCCTCCTATGTTCGCAAAACCGGAGGCACCGCCAGCAAGTTGGAGGAGTGTGACAAGGACCAAGGACGTGCGGGATCCTGCGGGACTGGACTCGAGACCCGGGTCCCACTGGACTCGCGTGACTTCCAACAGATTCCTTTACGATTTACTCTCCCTGAAAAGAAACATGGAAGTGGACAACCACCTGTTTTTTTTTGTTGTGGATTTCATGGTATTCCTTACGGGGCCATGCCATCCACTTCCATGTTAGTTCCCCGGAGTGTATGAGTCTTTTATTGTTTATAGAGCTTGTTTGTATTCCTTTGACCCTGGATTAGATGTGCCAAGGCTTACAAGGATCATTGCTTTGTGGGTATCAATTGATCTCGTTGAATAAGCATTTTCTACACACCACATGGCATCTCAAGCGATTGTAAATCATGCATTTGAGCTGGTGTCAAGTACCGAGTTCGTGTCTCCCAATCGTGTCCATGTCTCACTTGCATCCCATGTTGGTGCCTGTTTGTCATCCTTTTGTGTCCTCATTTGTCAACTCTAAGATGGCTTTTGTAAGTTCAGGGCAGCCTGATGAGGGCAGCCAAACTCGAGCAGCTGCTTGCGAATCACATCAACGCCCACAACAACGCTTGCAAACCCCAAGCATGAACATAATATCAAGTTTCAGCAGACATTGTTGAATTTAGTGGAAAGCAATGTTTTTGGAGCAATATGGGCTTTGACACATACTGTTTATATTCAATCAATGCATGTCCCGTAGCCGATCTCTGCTCCAGGTCTTCCAAAAGTAACCCAACATCCGGATGGACGTTCCTCCGGAACAAAACAATAAAACATATTGAATCTTTGCCGTGTTTCGGTGAACAAACAAAACAAAACAACATTATATGTTCTTTTGTTGTTTTGTATTTTTGCGGTTTTGTTTTTTTCTTTCGCCGTGAACAATATTTCTTTTCTTCGCTCCGCCGAGCAAAAAGAACAAACAACAAAACCACGGCAGCGCGAGCGGCACCTGGCTCGCTCCACTCACCGAGACTGGACCTTTGAGAAGTCCTACTTCCGCAGCTACGGGTGGCTGAAGCGAGGCCTCGAAAACGACTCAGACCGCGATGCCCGAGGCGACCCTCTTGTATAGTGACGCTGCAAAAAGGGACGAGGCTCCGAAAAGGGGCCCCAGTAATCTTTGATCTCATTTGATCTCAATGTTTCGTTTTTTGCGGTGAACATGTGTGAAAATGGGGGGACCTTTGACATCCTCAAGCCACTAGGTTTGGGTGTGCTGTTTCCTTGTGTCACGGCAAGGTTCTTCTTCCTACTTTATACATGCACCACATTCCACGTTCCTATAGGCCCTGGTGAACAACCCAACTGCACCAGTGGCAACACCTGATCCGAAAATAAGGAGAGCAACCACCACATTTGGCTGCTTCTACTCGAGGCAGGTTATGCATTTGTCCTGAGTCTTTTGAGGTATCTACCATGCGGATAAGAGCGCTAGGAGCCCAGAAGGCTTTAGGTGGCTGTGTACATTGAGTGGATCCAACCCAAGACCTAGAGGAACCACAGCAGATTCTAGTGTCAAACTTCAATTTTTGGTGCACTCGTGGGTTGTCAGGAACTTCGAGTCAAAAAGCCTAAGATCCTCGTGCGCAGTGCATCATCATCATCATCATCATCATCATCATCAACGCCTACTTTAGGGAGATATAGCATTACCCCACCAATACTGATTTCATCATTATCATCATCATCATCATTTTTTGGTGTGAAGATATAGCAATCAAATCCCACCCCCCCAAAGCCATACTGCCTATGTTGGACTTCCACCTAAGTTCCTGTCTTCGCGGTCTCAGGCAAGCAGTGTTTGGGTGTGCAGGGCACCATGAGCCGGGGAACCCGTGACCTGTGTCCAGTCCGACGACGAAGGAGGATCCCAATGGAACCTGTGAGTGCCAAGCAACGATGGGGTGGTCCATGAAATGAGGTGCTTGATTGACGACATTGGAAGACTGTAGGCCGCTGAACAACCCAGCAGGTTTGTTATTTAGCAAGTATAATGACTTATCATAACTTAGCAATTAGAGTTCTAGTAGGTGCTTTCTTCCCCAGTGGGGGACTTGCTACAATGTGACCCAGGGAAGCTGCCTCGGAGAGGTGGCCATTCTTCCGAAGAGCGAAGAGCGCTTTGTTTGCGGCTGATTTGACGTTTGTTTGCCAATGCAAGAACTCATGGCTTGATGAGCACCGCAGTAAAACCTTCAAACCTGAGTTCTCAAGGTTTGATGCAAGAACTCAGGTTGGTCTTTTGTTTTCCAATGATCATTGGATTCAGACGACTCCACGTGCCAGTTTGGACGGCCAAACACCTGGTTTCGGGGTCTCGGCGTTTGCATCATCCTCTCATCATTCTCTCCTGTGCCGCCTCGGACCCCGAGGCAAAGATGCGGGCTCTTTGGTTGTGGCTGAAAGGCTTGATCATGATGAGTGGATCGTGTCAGATAGACTGAAGGCTAAACCTACAGACTCGCTGTTTTCAATTTCTGATGCATGTGGAGTGTGCATGAACCTGCATTTGATCTACAAGCTCCGGAGTCCTATTTGTAGGACTTAACAGCCTCTAGCATGGTTAGGGGCGAAAAAGGTGGAGCCCTGAATCACCGAATGAGGATGAATGAGGGAAACCTAACCCAAAGTTGTGAAGATTCGAGCTCAGCCATGATTGTGAACCCTCTCTGCCAGTTGCAGCTACATGCCTTTGGCAGCCCGGGTGCCAAGCTACCAAGAGACGATGCAAGGTCGTTGGGTGATGGGTCTTGGGGAACCACTCGAGTGAAGATCGTCACGCGTCTGACCGAACTTCTGGCTTGGTTGGAAGTGAACATGAACTTTTGTCATATGTCCATTCCAACCAAGCCAGAAGTTCGGTATATATATATATATCGTATATATATATATGGATATACCAATATGGTATGGTATACCAACCCAATATGGTAAATATGTGGAAAGACTCATGTATTGTACTGGGTACATGCGACGCCCTGTGCGTCGCAGAGTCGTATACATTTTGCCACGAGGGCTCAAAGTGGTGTAAGTTGACAGCAGTGGTCGAGTATCCATGTTTGCCGCATGTTTTACTCCTCACGTTCGCAGTAGATTCATCTCACCGAGATCTGCTTTGTTCGATTTGTGGCGCAGATTTGCCCCGCAGCACTCTTACAGCACTGGAGCCAAGAGTTGGAGTGTGAGTTCTCATGGCCGCTGTCGAACATCTCGCGGACACATTACATTGGGCTACCTGAATCCAACAGGATATCGAAGCGTTTGCATTTTTAAGCACATATTTTTCGTTCACCGCGTGGTTGCACACGCCTTCCTGGGTCCACCTGTTGATAGTGCAGCATGGCAAGTGCATCACCGAGATGGCAACCCATCAAATAATTGCTTAGACAACCTGGAATATGCAACACCATCACAGAATATCCAGCACTCTTTCAATTGGAACTTCGATAGGCGCACTAGTCGGCCCCATGCAAAGCCTGTGATGTGGAAACCTGTGGGCTCTCAAATGTGGAGAATGTTTCCTTCTCTGGCTGCTGCGGCTCAACAGCTTGGCATGTCCCGCAGAACCATCACCAAACACTGCCAGAGTGGTACACAAATCGGAGACGTTCAGCTCAAGTTTGCTGAGCTGACGGAGCCTTCAGTTCTGCCTGGTGAGCAGTGGGTGCCGATGGCGAGTCCAAGGACGGGCCAGGAGATCGTAGACCGAAGAGTGAGTTCTTGCGGACGCGTTAGTACAACTTACGGTGTGATTTCGCGAGGGCATCAATCCAGCAGTGGCTACTCCATTGTTGGCATCGGATCTCACAAATTCCGTGTTCATCGGCTTGTAGCCCGGGCTTTCCTGGGACCACCTCCAAGTCTGCTGCACTCACATGTAAACCACAAAGACTTCAATCGAGCCAACAACTGCATTGACAACTTGGAGTATGTTACACCAAGCGAAAATCAGATTCATTCTTATTCTGTTCAGCACAGTCGCAAAACTTCTGCAGAGGCGACATCGATGCCAGTTTTTGGTCGAACCCAAGGCTCTAATGACAAGTGGACGTGGTATCCATCCATGTCGAGTGCGGCAAGGGCCCTTGGGGTCAATGTTGGCAGCATTTTTGCTTGTTGTCGAGGCTTGACGAGGCGTGCTGGCAAACATGAGTTTTGCCTTGTTGCCGAAGGAACCACGACCGAGGACCTCCCAGGCGAAGAGTGGCGTGTTGTGGACCTTCAAGGGCTACTGGAGGAGAAGGAAAATCGATCATTGGGAGCAAGTTCATGTTGATGATGCAACTTGTGGAAGCCCTTCCTCACTTGCAGACTTGCAGATTAAAGACGCTCTCTATTGCGGTCAGCAACTGTGGCCGCTTCCCACAGTCGAAGTGAGCTTCCGTTGCTGACAATTGCACAATTTGTTTGCTGCTTTTCTGGTGGTCCAGCTGGTCCAGCTTGATGTCCAATCCATTGGTCCAACGACAGGCCAATGACAGCCCAAAACGGGTCTGCAAACTTCGCATCACTCATGCATCCTCTTGCAGACAAAAACAACACAAGCTTCTGCACAATAGGTATGAATGTCTGTCAGATCATTGCCTGTGTGCTTTGCTGTCTTGGGCCGATCGACTTAGAATCAATGCTCCTGATATCCCCTGATCAATCAGGTGCGTTTCGTGTGCCATGGTGCTTCGTCATTGTGATCTTGGTCAATGCACAACCTCTCCTTCCAAACATGGAGACTCTTAGGATTTCATAGTGAGAGGACCAAACATGACAGAGATAGAGATAGAGAGAGATGTGCGCATCCACCGGATTCGCCAGTGAATCGAGATGTTCAGATGTCTCATTGCCCCTCTCCCTGATCAAATGGAAGATCTCTCTCTCTCTCTCTCTTGGCCATTTAGTTGAGATCACTGTCCAAATCGGTTGACAATGTCGTAGCCATTTCCCATCCGAGGTCCTTGGATGATGGCAACATCTTTCTTTTTCCCACCTGCCAGGTGAGGGTTGTTAGCTTTGAAGCAAGATTAGCAATATGGCCGCCGGTTCACGGCAGAATATCATGCCATGGTGGAGATATCACTGATATCACCCGAAACAAAGAATGTTTTTTTTTTCCTGCTTGGGGCATGGGATGTCCACCACTTGAAGCCCCGACACGCCGAGTTCGTGTGCCTCTAAACCTCGAGCCACGTGCCGATCGAATTGGCTCGCTCTGAGGATCAGAAGTGGTACTGGACCGACAACTTGGAGTGAGTGAATCGGTTGGTATCGCGGAGCAGATCGAGCTGGTCTGGTCTGGTGACCATGCGTAGTCAGTCAAGCATCATCAAAAATCACGCGGCTCTTAAAAAAAGGGCCCCGCAAGGTGGATTTGATTGGTTTTGAGAGGCTATGTTAAAGACTTAAAGGGAGTCCTGGTTAAATCTTGGTCGTAGTTGGTCATCGTTGGTCTATTTATCCTTTTGAGTTTGGGGAGATGTTCATGATTTCCGGAAGACTACAGTTGGTGAATAACCTTCAAGCAGCTTCAAGCATGTCTAATGTAATCCTCGCACCCATATCCCCAAGAATCATCCTGTTCGGATGCACTTTCCACATATTTAGTTTAAAATAAGTGTAATTACTGTTGGGACGCACTTTCCACATTGTTTCTACTAGATTGTATAAGTACTCCTGTATACTAACTAGTTGCTTCCAAGTGGTGGGATACCGCCATGAGTTTTTTGTCCTTCTTTGATCTCTCAACTCACCTGATTCGGTGTCAACACGGTGATTCGGTGACACATGGAAGAGTGCCCGCACCCCAGAGATGGAGTGTAAGAACCTTTGTTTGTATGGATGTCTATTGGAATAGGGAGACCTCCCAGGCAACGACTCCCCGAAAGAAGGAAAACAGACCAAATCCCATGGTTTGGGGATCTCCCCATTAAGATACATCATGTAGGGGTTGAAACATGTTGAAACATATTCCAGAGTCTACATGTTGTTTAGTCCGGGGTCCCCCTGAGTGGATGGAGCAGAAAGAAGAACGAACGACAAACAATATCAAACAACTATGCGCATTGGAGGGTCACAGCGTCACGCTCGTGGAACGATGTTCCTCCCAACAGTTCTTGTTGTCACGTGAGGATATGTGTTGCGGGAATGCCAGCAACGCCTGACTGTCGCACGTCACATAGTCAGAATGCTATGAAACGTCACTTCGTTCGTCGAAGCTTTTGTTTCTTTTCAAAGCTTTGCTTCAAATGGCTGGACTAGCGACATCTACCGGCTCGAACAGATCCAACTCGTCACTCCAGAAGTGAGTGACCGGGCGAGCAAAGGGTGAGGGGTTCGCCGCTTGATGCGAAGTGGGAACAAAGACAGGAGTAAGGGCTGAAACGCCGCATGAGGTTGGATCACGTTTTGTTTGGTTTTGGAGATGGGGCTGGCCATGATCATCAGGCCATATCATATGGCCTCAAGATGCCGGTTACTGAAGCTTTAGTTGGAGATGTTCGATGTTTGTTGTTTCCCACTGACCAAGAGTGTCAATTGTATGTGGGTTGGTTACATGGTCCCTACACAGCAACAGCAGTGGCGGCGGCAGCAGCAGCAGCACCTGCTGCTGCTGCTGCATCGTGCATCGTTGTGGTTCACAGGGACTCGCTCCTGCCCAACCTCATGTTGCGGGGCAGTGAGATGGTGAACAACATTTGGGTATCACAACTTCTCTGAAAACCCAGATTTGATCATGCTTCCCCCTTGAGAGAAAGGGGTGTTTTTTTTATCCTCCGGAAACCAGTGGTGGGCGGGTCGATGCATCGCTTCGCTCCGTCCTGACTTCGGCCGGGCGGGTCGACAGCTGCCTCTGTGCCGCAGCAGAGGTTCCCGGATCTCGACGACGACAGGGATTCGAGGGGAGTTGACATGGAGTCCCCCCAAAAACACCCATATTGCCCGGACACGACTCATGAGGAGTTAACATGGGACTGGCACAGTTACATACATTCTGGTGGTTTTAGGGGTCAATGTTAGTATATATGTCAGTCGCACAGTCCCATGGAGTGTCTGGGTTGTTTCATCAACATTTGGGCTTGCTACTTCCCGTCCCTGGCGTCCCTCCAGGAAGGTTTGAGCCGGAACATGGGCGACGTGTCGGGGAGTTAGACCACCGACCACCGACCTGGGCGCATGGCTCAAGCTTGAATTCAGTGCCAACTTCTTGTGAAAACCAAAGCCTTGGAGCCTGGGGTCCTTGAGGTCCCAGGCCCAGGCTCAGCAGTACTACAGCTTTCAGCTTTCGCTCGCTGCCCAAGAGCTCACAGGTTGATCACCCGCGTGAGACGAAAGAGACGACGCCCCAAAGGGACGAACTCCGGAAGCTATCAAACACCTGTGTGCACCCTGCAGCCCCTTCACACTGTCAAAGAGCTAATGCATGGATGCCGCCTTGAGCGATGAAATTACAAGCCACCCACCAAAGGATCACCGGGTCTATAGACTCACAAAACAGCCAGCCGCCAGCCACTTCCTAGAAACTTCAGAAAACCCGAACAACACTTTTCATGCGCTCCAGTCGTCATGCTATCATGTCAGCTATCTACACACAACATCACAAATTCACAACTTGTTTTGTCTTTCCGTGTCGCTCCAGTCGCACGCAGAGACAGATTCCCTGTCACCTCGTCCGATGGATGCAGAGGTCAAGCCGATTTGGGCGAAGCCCAGGCGGATCGAAGGTTGATGGCGACGTCTTTGATGTCGACGTCGACCAACGGTGCAAAACGGGTTCAGCCCGAGGATAGCTATAGCAGTTTGACTTTTGTATAAAACGGATATCAAAAAGGGTTGATTATACTAGGAAGATATCCAATAAAACGAAGTTGGTGATCATATGAGATGAACATAAGAAACACATATTGTCCATCATTGTCCGTTTGCAGCACTTGGATGGTTTGTTTGAACAGACACCATTGACACACGTGGACTCTGGTCCATTTAGGTGAAGCACACGGGGTTTGCCCTGTGTGAAAGATGTGGAGGCTTGCAGAATAAATTCCTTAAACTTCCTGCAACTTGTTGAACAGCGTTTCGACTCTTGTAGAGTTTTACAAATAACTACATACACAAGGGCGGCACCTGGAGAGTGTGAGACCAAGGTCCCAAAACGGACCAATTCAATGAACATCTCAAGCATCTCCAGAAGCAGCGGCCGCAAAACTTAGGACCCACCCGGGAACCAGCGGGTTCCGCGCGGAACCCGCGGTGGGTGACGGCCGCGCCAGGCCTCCCAGCCGTTCGGTGGAGACGGCAGGTGTGTTGACCGAGCTCGAGGTCACTGAGGCGCATGGCTTACAGTGGGTTTGGAGGTGAGAGATGGCACTGACACACCTGAGGATGTCCTAGATAGGGGTCCACAACTAAAGCATCATATACTTGGGGTAACTTGTGCCATCTCTCCTCTCCACTAAAATTTTAGGAATCCGGTGAGATGAGGTGATATGAGGTGATGGGTGAACTGATGCAAGTTGTTCATTTTGTGGACTGAAGGCTCCTAGCGAATGTGAACTAGGTTTCTAGGGGAAAGCTGCTGAAGTTGTTGGTGGACGCTTTGGCCATTGAGAGTCCCATGGCAGCTTTGATGGGCACACTGCACCTCCCCATTTGTCTATGTCCAAGGCTTGAAAGCAAAACACTCTCCCAAAAGCGCCTTAAACATTTGCACTTGCAGTGACTGACTAGTGACCAGAATGCAGTTGTTTAAGAGATACAGTTCGACTCTCAAGAGATACCGATGTGCTGGGTTTCAGATGGGGAGATGTACGGTACGCGTCGACGTCGACGCCGAGGGATTGGTTTCGGTGCCCGGACCGTTCCTAAAAGGCAGAAGAGGATGCTGGAACCTCTGAATGCAGTTGGCGGGAATGCTGTGGGTATCGGACCACCGAGGACATCGTCGAAGATGTGTGGAGCATGTTGAGGGTCTATGTTGTGTCCTTGGTTTATTTGTTGTTTATCCACTCCTAGTAACAAGAAGCTACTAGGGGCTCCTGGCCTTACTACTACTATTTTCCTCAACCGGTCCATAAAATGCTTCGTTCTCGCTAAAGTCGAGGTGATTTGCACTCTTTTTGGCCCAAGAATGGTGCCGGCACGCAAACCAACACAAACCATCACAAAACCGTGGATCTCAGACTGAGAAATCCGAAGATTCGCGGGCATGTATGGTTTTCACTGTCTTTCATTGAACTTAGATCTCCTTAAAAGATCGGATCCTTTCCTTTGAGCAGGGACCAGAAGGCAGGAAGGGTGTCAGCAGGTGGTGTCAGTAGGCCACTCAGTCAGGCAAATGCTGACGCTTCGGTTCACTTCATTGCACTGAGTTTTTTAGGGGGTCATTTGACCAAGGGCAGTTAATGTAGACTTTGGGTTTGTCCAAGCAAACCTGTAATGGTCAGTGAAGAATTATCACATTTGATCACATTTGTATACATTTTTTGAATAAGGCCTGCAACATAACCATCATCATCCACTGCTACTGGAAATCAGATAGACACAATGTAGACATATGTAGACTCTTGATTCTATGTCAAGGACATTCAATCCATGTCTGGGCGGTTATTAATCAAGAGTCTCCACATGAATGAATGTTGACTTTCTTGGAAGTGGCGATTCGTGCGACATTTCGGGGGATCACTGCTGAGCTGGTGCCCCTACCACACCCCACACTTCGGTGGACTCGAAACATTTGGCTCGGTGTGCTCCAAAACATGTCGTTTTCAGAGAGGAGTTTCTCCTGTCCAAGTCTGGTCAACATGCTTAGCAAGAGCGATGGCCTCCAACCTAAGAGCAATGGCCTCCAACCCAGCTCCTCAGATGTGGACAGGGGTCTCGGCCTCGGCCTGCGCCCCACGCGCGACGGCACGACGCGGTTTGGCCCAGGAACCGAGTTGGGCTCGGCCGGCTCGGAGGAGGTGCGAGCGCTGGATGCAGCTGGATGAGTTGATGGAAGTGTGCTTGAGGGGCTGGGTCAATGATCAAGTTGTAGTCTCTAGGGATCCAACGACGTCCCGAGAAGGTGGCTGGGGGGGTTCATGATCAAGTTATATCAAGTTCTTGTGTCTGGAGTGGGTTTGGGGGGGCCTCGAACTGCTTTCTAAGGATTTGGGAACCCGAACAAACGGGAGTATCTCATAGGATCTGCACTATTTCAGATCTACCAATCCATGATCCCATCAAGTCAGACAGTTGGTGTTGGATCTCTTGCAGTTGGTGGAACGATCTACAGTATGTGTAGAAGGGTACTGCTTGGTCAAGCAGCTACCCTTTTGGATCCTTTTGGAACATATATATATATATATATATTACTTTATATTGAAGCAAAATGGGCCAGCTGTTCATCCTGGCTAGCCGCTAGCCTCATCAAGGTTAGTTGAGTTGGACCAGGAGTTCCCTCCAATGCCTTGTTCCCTTGTTATTTGGGCGACCCAATTCAGGCCGCTGTCTCAATATATATAGCTGTAGTGAAAGACTTGAAAGAGGCTGTTATCTGTCGAACTTCAATGGGTTTGTCAGTGGGCGATGTGGACAAGGTTGGCCAGTCAGTCGGTTCAAAGCACAGATACCCGGCGATGCAGACGGAGCAATCCCTTGACTGTTCCAGCTACTATGCAGTCGGAGCATTGTTTTGCTACCTGTCTTGGACACAGAAGCTACCTTCAGGTTTGTTTTTACCAGGTGTCCGATGTGGAGCCATAGCAACTAATCGCTTTGGGGGGAGGGCAACCTCCACGAATCATGAAGCCTCGGACTGCAACGTGAAGCGTCAACAACTGCAAGTTTGCACTCGCCACCAGAAAGTGTTGATTTCATGATGCTAAGTTATGCTTGAGAATACTATTGTAAACTTTGGACCTTTATAATATATTTACAATATGTTGCATCTTTACTTTTGGATGGTGCCGTATATCGTTAAGCATCGTTAAGCGTCGATTGAGTAAATATAAGCAGTTTTGCATTCAGCTGAACCACATGAGACGGGACTGGAGTCATTGAATGAATGGAGTTTAGGGCAAGGCCTCGGACAGATATGATATCCTCACTGTGCAAGAGATGTCCGTGTTGATGTTCGTTAACAGGGCGGTTGAAGCAACGTTGCCTTTTTGGTCGGCTGCCTTCTGTGTGTAGACTCGTTTTGCAGGATTGTGTAGACGGGAGTCGCGACACCTGGTGGAAGTCTTTGAGCCATTTCATCTATTTGCATGTACTGTATATATATAATCATCTCACCATCACCATGTCTCCTTGACGCCTCTGATGCTTTTCAGGGTCTAGGACTGAGTCCAAATGGTCCAGTGGCTGTTTTCGCAGATCTTCTTTTTCCTCCACCGAATTGTCCGACACTGGTTTTGTGAGGCCCATCCTTGGGCCCACGGCCGCGCCCAGCGACCACCTCGACCGCACTTCTGGCAGGTTCCAGTGGGGTCCAAGACGGAGAGCGAGAAGGTGCATTTGCCCATCCCCGGACAGGTCGAGGCAGGGACCAATGGGACGAGCCGGGCTCCTGGGTTCTTTGGTGTAGGGGGGGGTGGACTTGTCTGAATTTTTGGAAAGAATTTATGGAAAACATGAAGCACGGATTTCTGAATTCGCGCCGTTTCAAGGAACAAGACTTTAGTCAACCAAACATCTAGGTGAGGGTAACTACCAAGTTGATTGAGATTTTTCTTGATTTGGCTGGTTGTTCCCATGTTCGATAGTTTCATGATAGTGCCTCTTTAACTTGCTGAGTAGGCTAGCTGGAGGGAAGACGATGACCCTCCGGTTTGGGGTCTTCTCCTATGATTGTTTCACGCCGGAAACGCTCGCAACGAGTCAATGCTGACCACCACATCATCAGAGTTAGAGTCTTTGTCATTGATTCGAGCCACCTTGTTTGATCCTTAATTATTGTTCCCCAGTGTCCGACTAAGAATCCCGCTATTGTCGATCAGCAGTGGCGCCAAAAACGATCCACGCGTAGACCTAGAGGACCTTTGGTTTCTCATATTGATTATGTTTGAGATTCACTTGGTCAGATCGCTGAGCAATGGGTTCACCCATCCAAGAAGGTTCTCAGAATTGGCGACCGAGACGTAAGGTGGCGGTGAGAATGTGCGGAAAGAATGGATGAAATACACTGTTGGCTGGAAGCAGCACCACGGACCAGCTGTTCACTGTTGACTCCATGACTACCCAGAAATTTCATGGAGCTTCTCAAGATTCTTCGAGTTGACTCCATTTTTGTTGACTGGTTCTCAAGATTCCTCAAGTTCAATCACTGCATCCCGTTGTGGAGGAAGAGCCGGTCGTGGAGTCAATGCCGAGTTCCTCCTCGAGAGATGGAAGAGACTTGGTGACCATGGTGGGAATGTTCAGTCAGAACAAAGGGGGGGGTGATTGCACTCAGTGAGATTGCACTCAGTGCAACCAAAGTCGTGGAGTCTTCATGATCAAAGCCTAGAATTTCGAGGTTTTGTTCCCAGACACTCCATGTATGGCATATATGCCTGCATTGGGGTGGTTTTGGGGGGTCAATGTATATAGGCATATATATGCCATACAGTGCCTGGGGTTGTTGCTTCCATGTTTTGCCGATTGGATTCTATTGGTCTCTTGTTCTTTTTGTCGTGCTTTCATGGGATGTCGAACACCCGACGTCGTCCGTGGTTGCTGTGTTTCATCTGTGTCGAACTACTAGCGGGGCGCGCGCTGTTTCCAGAGCTGATTCGGCCAATAGGACCAGGACTTGGAGTTGCTGCGTGTGTCTTCTCTTGTTTAGATGGAGAGTGGGGCGTGCTCCAGTCTCAACTTGAGAGTGTCGGCGCGAACCGTCGGCGTGTTTTTCATCGGGGAGAGACTGGTTTACCCTGCCAATTGGTGAGTCTTGGTGAGTCAGATTCCCTGACTTAAGACCAAATGCAGTCAACACCTCCCCAAGATCCTCCAAACCTAGGTCAGCCGGAGGCCGTGATCCGATCCAACCCAGGGTCTTTCCATGTTCTTTTTTCACGTTGAAATGGATCCTGTTTTGCGGCAAATCACGGCAAGTTCTTGAGACTTGCTGACGCCAAACAATGACTTGCTGAAGCGAACTTCTCCGGTCCGACTGGCTCACTAGACTCGACAACTGCAGTTGGGGTGAGCAAGAAGGCCCGGGCACCTGTACGTGTACAACGTGTACGGTAAGAATGGTCAGATACAAGGACATTCTCAATCGCTTTCATTCTTGTTTGACATATCCTTACGAACACTGATCTTTGCCTGTGGGTCTCAACCAAGGCAAGCAAACTCCAACCAGGCAGGCTGCTGGAGGGAAACACTATCAGATGTCACTATCACTATCACCGATCAGTAAAGAAATCAGATTTGAACATATATATATATATACATAAGTCAGCTAAACTGAACGGTTCTCACGTTCAAAAACAAGGGAATTAGTGAAACACCACGGACAAATCTGGTCAAACAGTGGTTTGAAACTACTCAGTGCTTTGAAACTACTCTTTATGCACAGTCTACATGTACACCTAATCCACAGAACCACTTCACTAGACTCCTTCCCTTCTAGGCATTGGATTTCTAGATTATGCAAAATGAATCATCAGAGCTCATCAGTTTCGATAGCACATCCCAAGTTACATGTTGTTCCCGAAGATCCTTTGTTTCTGGTCCTTTTGGGGGTACATGTCATTTCCTTGTGCCTGCTTCACCAACTGCTACTTGGGTTTGCTACAGAGAGTGGTGGGGCCTTGGACCAGCATTTGCTGCATTTTTTGTTGCTTTTCTTCATCCTGCGTGCTTTCAAGGACCAGGATTGACATAAAAACATCTAAGAACTCTTAGCCGCTTAGCCAAGCTCGACTGTGCAACCGGTCGGACCTGGCAGCGTAGTTTTCTGGGCTGTAGAAAGACCGGTTGGAGTTGGGAGCTTTTGTCATGTTGAGACATTTTTGGAACTGAGCTGGCGTCTAGTTAAAAGCAAAAAATACCTGAAACATATCAAGCAGATATCAAGCCTATGCCATGACAGCTGAGACTGCCCGCAAATTGAGAGGCGTGTTGCAAGCAACAAAGCCCAAGACCTAACTGGGACAACTGCTTAGGATGACTATTTCGTTCACAAAAGATTAGCACATCTTTCATTGTCATTATGCCAATCTCCATACAAGTGTTGAAGACCAACACGCGCTTTGACCTGCCAGGATTGCCTTCAAGACTCTGTGTACTTTTTTGGCACCCCAAACTCCACGCAAGAAGGGCCCCATCTTTGTGCTCCAAGCTCCAGTGCTGCTTGCCCAGTCGTGTGCCAGGCTTGGTGTACCCTCAGGACTCTTCAAAGAGTTTCGGGCCAAGATCAAAAAGAGCCGCACCAGCCACACGGATTGTGATGGAAAGCTGAGGTCCCAAAGTTTGTTCTTTTGTTGCTTCTCAGCTGCCGGTCTGTTTAGTTTGGAGACCGGTGAGTCGTGGGGCCGCCAGTTGGCAGGGAACATGATCGAAGATCCCAAAATAGGGTCCGTGTGACGGGGCGTGGTCGTTTTTTTGCACCTCGGTGTTGCTTTTGGGCTTGGAACGAATACCAGAGTATTGCCAGCATGGCCTAGACTTACAGAGAGCCTGCTGTTGCTTGTTTGTGGCTTTCTCAGTCGTGCACCAAAGAAAGTGGGTGGTGAGCAAGAAGCAGATGAGAATCAACCATGAATAACCAGAAAGGAAGGGAGCAGTTCAGTATCCCTCTCTTCAGCCCTCTCTCCGTTTATGGACTTGTTGTTGATCTTCAGTAAATTCAAGCCTCCCTTGCTAAGTCTTGGCGCTTGATGCACTCATATACATGTATAATATATATGATAAAAAATAACAACATGCCTCACGTGAATCCACATGAGTAAGTCTACAATGGGTTGAACATGCTCACTTCGAGCTAAATCAGGCTGAAGAAAGGCCACCGGACAAGGATTTTGATCTATCTACTTACTCGCAGCATAAGATAACAGCATCCTGAAATCCAATGAGGCAAATGTTGTTGTCAATATCCATGTGCACGCGCCTTGTTGGAGCAGCACACCATGGTCATTCTTCGTTCTGAACATCATGGGGCACAAACGCTGATGTTCAGGCGCCAACGTTTTCGAACAACCACAATCCATGGTATCCTTCAAGATCCCTAATATGTCGTGATTCGTTTCGTGACCTTCGTGGTCATTCTTCAGATCATTTCACAGAGCTGAATCTAAGATACTGTCTTTCGGAAGCCTACAGCACAGTTCTCCTCAACCAAGACGACGCTTGCTGTCGGGGCTGGGGATTGTGGCGATTGGATTGGACATGAGAAGGGCTAGGTGTAGGGCTAGGTGAACATAGCAAAGCATGCACAGTGATTACTCCCCCTCCGACAGTCATGGAAGTGGACAATAACCTCTATGAAAACGATGTTACTTTGCTAAGAGGTGTTGTCCACTTCCATGTTTGTTACATTGGAGAGAGGGTATACCATTCTTTGATCAAGGGAGACGAACTCACCAATATAGAGTCGTGGACAATTGCCGAACGATTCCATATCTATCAGTTGGGTCTGTTTGAACTTACCTGTTACTGGCTGTTAGTAGCAATCATCACTATTGGACAAGGCCTGCAACCAGGCCCCATCATCATCCACTGTTAACATTGTTAACTACTATCAGATTGACTCTGAGAACTGCTATCAAATTGATGTGTGGGCTTGATTGGAAACAAGGCGGTGCTCTCCCAAGAGAACAAAGATGGCAACCAAAAGATGTTTTTTGGGAACATGTTTGTCCTGTACCTGGTGGGTAGTTGTTTGTGCTGTGTCACAAGTCCCCCATCCCCCAGTGTGAACACGCCTGGTACCCAGCCTGGTCCGGTGTACTCTTTGCGTGTCACACTCGTGTGAAGAAGGTCCGGTGTACCTCGAGCTTTAGGAGCTACCGGACACCGTGGTCGTGTCTAGCTTTGGAACCAACAAGATGACCGGGTCAAGCAAGGGTGATGATTACAGGCTCGGCCCTCCGGCGCCAGACAAAAAAAAGATGCCTGACATGAGCTCAGGGTCTTTGATGGGCTCAAAACAACATACCACCAAACCGAGTTTTGCTGAACACATGCATCACTTAATTTAAACATGTCTATAGAATATCGTAAGCACTGGCTGTTGGTCGAGATTCATGATCCAAAAATCTGGGCCTACCCTACCCAAAAAGCATGGCAACACTTTAGGAGTGTCATTTGTCTCTTCTACTGTGCACATTTTGGCTGTTCTGTTGGGTGGAATCTATTATATTTGTTGTGTGCATGCATAAAATTTGACTTTCTATCTTCTAATATCTTCTAAGATCTTCTAAGAACATAATTATCATCATCCACCCCATCCACCCCGTCTCACCACCGTTGTCAATCAAAGAATCGATCTCTCAGCACTTCTTCGAGGACGGCCTTCCTCGCGCGCTCCTCGACGCTGGCTCGGAACTCCATCACCGACCTGCCCAGCGAGAGCTCGGGGATTTGGGGTTTGAAGCACGGCCTCGAGAAGATGGTCAACTCGCCCGTCTTCGAGGCGGGCGGGTTGAGTGGAGTGTTTAGTGGTCTGTGGTGCTCAACTGACCCGAGAGATGGAGACGGAGAAGTGTGTGAAAGAAGGGATTTGGAAGATCAAGCATGTGAAAGGAGCTCGGGGGGATAGGATCTTTTGGTGATGGATGCCGACGCACATAGGACTCATTGTAATACGGAGATCGGGATAGACCGGGATGGGCTTCGATCCCGATCTGGAACCCGGGTGACGAATCAGGAGCAACAAGGCTTGCTGAAAGGGGGTGGGTTTGTTGCCCAATGATTCGCAGCAATGCGGTGAGACTCACGTGCATCACCATATTATGAAAGATGTTTGTGGGTCAAAACGCAATAGGTTGACCTGCTTAACTTAGTAGTTCGCTGCTTAGGAAAAAACAACATGTTTTCCCCCGGTTTGGACCCCACGCGTGTTTTGCTTTGCTTTTTTGGATTTGCATCGTCGCGAAGTAGGTGCGATCTTAGGGATCACGTGGATCATTTTGTCCGTTTGGGCCAAGTCTGCTGAGATCGTCACGCTTGAAAGTTAAGAGCGCCCGAGTTCTGTGAGAAGTCATGGTGCAAAGTGTGCCAAGTCTCATTGACAGGCCCAAGTCTCATGAATTTCCTCCAAATACCAGGCCAGGTTGGAGGCCATCGCTCTTAGGTTGGAGGCCATCGCTCATAGGTTGGAAGTCATTGCTCTTAGGTTGGAGGCCATCGCTACTAGCTTGGAAGCGATCGCTATACTAGTTAGTAGGAGTAGTAGTAGTAGTAGCCTAAATGGAGACCAGACGACCACTGGATTTGGCATTCTTGAAGAGGTTCAGGGCGTCCCTTCCTGCAACGATGATTTCGCTGCTGTCCAGGGCAGTCACTGGAACGTCCGATTGGCGGCCCAACCAGGATGTTTTTTTTTGGGTGAGAGACCACCATGCGATCGCAAATGCCGGAGGGTGATCGCAGACTTTGTTGAGTTAAAGACGCCTTTGATGTCGCATCTTCTAGCGTTTGTATGCCACAGGTTGGCAGTTCTGCAAGGCAACCATGATCAAGTCTCTTTGACATGGCCAAACCGACTGGAGACGTTGAAGCCTGAAGTAGCAACACCGCAAAAGTAGAACATACTAGAACTCATTGACAGCAGCCTTTTTGGGGCCTATACTGTAGGCCTAGGCATGCCTGTCAGCATCTGTTGGCTCTATATATATATATATAGAAATCTCAAAAGATCCTCACAGATTCGATTGTTTGGATTTGCAAATAGGCAAATAACCTCTTTCGCCAAATCTTTCGGCGGTGGAGCCTGAGCAGGGTTTTGGCTGCAGCCACTGTGATGCAAAGATTCCCAGGTGCCTGCCTTTTCCAAGATCCGATGACTCACCTTACCGTTTCTAGCGTGAAAACAAAGGAAAGCTCACACCCCTTTTCTCGCTGGTGTGAGCCTTTTCGAGAGCGGTTGGGGAGCTGTTTTTGGTAGTTCCCGACGGCTCATCCGGGACGTCCAAACGGCCCTCGGCCACACCGGCCATCGCGGCTGCAGTTGGTCTTCGCCGTGATCATCTTCATGAACACCATTCTCATGTCCGTGCAGGCCGAAGCGACGGAAACGACGGTGGTGCGAGCCGCGACCGTGGATTTCGGAGAGAGAGGCCCCTGCCTCTGACTCTGTCTGTCACAAATGCAAACGGGGCACTGCCTGTTTGTTTCGTGAGAGTCAAGGATAGTCTTGTGAGCAATTTTTTGGACATCCTATGTTATCTACAGATATTTACAGCATTTGTACCGACTCATTGAAGATTTCATTGACTATAGCTTTGGCTCTAAGTCCAGGATAGTATGCCGGATCTGCCGATGGCCTAGATTGAAACAATATGCTGCTATATGTACATTTGTACATTGTATATGCGGTATATGTACATGTACATGGAAATCCACCCATCTCCATTCTCCAAGTGCACTGGCAACACAAGATCCGTGGCTGCCCAATCAACGCCACTTCCCCTTTCCGCCAGGTGCAGTACCGAGGGCTCAACGTGGGGTTCACTCTGCAGTACCCTGGTGTCTCTATACCTGCTGAGGCGACAGTGGTGAGCGTGAAAGGCTGAAAGGGTGATAATTGAGCTTGTACATCCCTACTCTATTCTGAGAGAGCAAGGCAACCATGCGAGCATTGCTTGTACATCCCTACTCTATTCTGATTTGTATACACTGCACACTGCAGTGTGTACGTGTCATGTATCCTTTCCCACCTTTGGGGGATGGACAGTGCCCCAATGCAGGACTCCATTGGGGCAGCCCTTCTGACACTAATAGCCACCAACAGACCAACAGGTCTCCGACCCAGCGACTTGCTGAACTGTAAGATGCCTCAACCGCTGCGACCTTACATCGGCTGATGTTGGATGATTTTTCTTCGTGCCTTTAAGCACGAACAACGGACACTGAGAAGATCGGACGCTGATGACGCTCGTTTCGTAGGAATCATGGCCGAATGCCGAAGAGATCTTCTTCGGTCTGGAGATGTGTTTCGGAGTCATTTTCACCTGTGCGCCTTGGCAGGAGGTCCGGTGAGGTGTGGTTCATTCCACGGTATGGCGGGTGGGGGTTCGTTTGGTTTTGTGGTTTCGTTCGGAACGATTTCTTCCCACCCAGAAGACAAGAGAAAACCCATTTGGATTGTAAAACAATGAACAACCCCCTTCATATGGAGGTTTTATTCATCATCAGTCTTCATTATGTACGATGTCCATTTTGAGAGAGCTGGCTTCCAAGGTCTTTTTCGAAAGACCAGGTTACATACATTAATATATGCATCCTTCAGGTTTTGGATGGCTTTGGTAATAAATAGCCAATGGTCCTCTATTACTACTACTACTACTACTACTACTACTACTACTAC